TATATATATATATATAATCTCACTTGGTGAGACAAACTCAGGCATTACACAACAAAGAGAGAAAATTATGTGGTGGTAGATTACACCAGAACGTTTTAAAATGCCAATAAAATAACTGCTTAAGTTAGAGTTTATTGATACTACTACTTTCATGTATGCCTTGTGGAGCATTTAATAACAGTTTTGCTGCCCATCCCTAATTACAATTGACTGTAAGAACGTCTTGTATACAACCATCTTCTGTTCAACAAACATATTATTTGAAAATAGTTTTGCCCATTTTGATAAATCAAACTTTGTGTTCTCATGCTAATAAGAGCATCCAATAATGATCAATTCTTGCTTTACCTTTTAAAGCAGGGGTGTCAAACTCAATTTCATCTCGGGCCACATTAGCATCATGGTAACACTCAAAGGGCCAGTTTTATATATAAGACTATATAAAAATACATATATAAATATTTAATATATATATATATAACATAATGTGTTATATTACATTATTGCCTCTGCATTGGATTATTATCTGATAGGGTAACTTCATAATGAACTACGTCTGAAAGCAGAAGCCTAGGGCAAGTAATTGCAAGTCTCTTCAGTGAGAACCTCACAAAATGATTTAAAAAGTTTTTTTTAAAAAGGTGATATTTTGAAAAGAAAGTTACATTTTGGAGAAAAAACAGATTCTGGGGGAAAAATTAATATGTGGAAGAAAAAGTCAAATTCTGAGAAGTCAAATTTGAGATGCATTGTGCTACATGTAGTTTATGGGCAACGTGCTTCTGGAAATCGGCATGTAACCGAATAATAAACCTATTATATTCTTTGCAACTCTTGTGGGCCACATAAAATGAAGTCACAGGCCGGATTTGGCCCCCGGGCCTGGAGTTTGACACCCCCGCTTTAAAGCATGATTTTCCTTAGTGGTTTTAGAAAAGGTGTCTTAATTGAAAATGTTGTTGAAGTTTGGAAATGCACCATTCTCACAATCCATGAAATGTTCACTGACACTATTTAATAATGATGTCTTAATGAAAAGCTCCGTATAACATGACGTCTGATCAGTGTTATTTCCACTCGAGTACATACTCGTAATCCACTTTATTACTACATCGCTGTTTATGTTCTGTTTTTACCATATTCCAATGTAGCCTTGTGTTGAAAAAATAGCCCCCTGTGTTGGAGTTTTTAGCTTTTGAGACTTTTAGTCTTTTCCTACTATTAAGGTTTCACAGAGTATGCCAGCATTGGCATATCATGTGCATATTGTTTTCCTGTTGGAGAAATGTCTTGTGCAATGTTTCATTTTACAGTGGCAATATTCTACACATGCATTCCTGATGTAGTCCTTGTACTTCAGTCTGGTCTCGTTTGGGACCATAAGTCATTAATGATTTTTTTGTTTTGAATTGCAGTGCCATAAGAGGTGCTGTAATGGCAGGACAGTGTATTCATATGTAATTTCTGCTCATCGAACCACATATAATTTAAGAAAACAACTTACGCTCGCAACAAAAAACAAACTATAACATTTATTTTATTGAAAGGCCTCCAAGGCGTTTTCTGTTGCTACATTAAGTTCCCTTAAAAGCCAATTGTGGGCAGCATTCACAAAATGCTAGACCTACGGAGTAGTAAGACTATGCTTAAGGCTGGTCTTGGCATGCACTGGAGAGACCGTACTAGCTAGGCACTGACTAACGAAAGCATTACCCTCTCTTCCTTTTCTGTATGTAACCTGTGGCACCTGTGGACCTTCATATTGGAACGAACCGTTTCTTCGGATGTGTCTCCTGCTGGTTGTGTTGTAAATCTCACAATATAAAACAAATCACCTTTACTACCGTACCATTTATACACTTCCATATGGACATGAACTTTGTGCCTGCGCACTAAACCATTACTTAACACCCCCTCTCCAATCTGCCCACCTGGCAAATTAAACCCAACAGCGCAACGAGCGCTTTGCCCAGGGCGGTCCTAGGGGAATAGGTCCTGGTACCCCCGGGTTCGGCAGAGTCCGTGAGGAGTTTGATGGTCCTGCTAAGAAACCCCGTTTTTAAATGCTGCTATTTGAAGCTTCCAGCAGCAACATTTGTATAGATTCTCCACAACATACTTGTTGAGTCGCATTTCTTGTATTTAAGTTTAAATTGTTGCTACATTTTAGCCTGACAATTTACTCATTTTATGACAGTCAATATTTTCCTTTTTTTATTTTGTATTGTCAGTAGTATGGAAAGATGGAACACCCTCGTGTGATCATTAGCTCTTTCAGACACATGTATACTTTTCTTTTCTAGATGTATTATGCTCTGTGAGTCGCCGTGAAGTGATAACTGTAACACTTTTCTCTACCTTCTATGGCTGTGTTTTGTGCCATACATTTGGAGTCAAAGCATGTATTATAATAAAGAGACATTGGTTCTGTCCGGCAAAACGTTAACATTTATTCCTACAAGTTGAAACTCTAAACGTATAATATGTTCAAAAGCAACAATTTACTAACAAATAGTTGTTTTTAATTGACGTGGCTATTTCTGCCACTATAGGTCTTAAAGGGTCTATGTGTTATCTCTGCCGAAGTCCTAAACCTCAATCGCTCGGCGACGCGTGGCTCCTCCTGATGCATATGCTGCAAATTTCCCTGCAGTCTTTTGCTTGTTTTTTTATTCCCATTAAACTCAAAAAACTAGCTGACACACTTACAATTTGAATTCCTGATATGAGTGTTTATTAGACTTTTATCAAATAATTATACTAATCTAGCAGTGACATGTCTTATTGGTAAAGGGTTTTGACATTTGGCATCTGCAAGTCTAGACTGCATCAATGTCTTCAAACTGTAGAGGACACACAATATTATTAATCCATTTAAATATACCACTTTTAATTTGTTCTCCATATACACTGCTTAGTGGCAATGGAGGTCTCCGCTCTCTGTTTAGCATGTTCCATTCACTGTTATTCAGTAACTCTTTTAAAGTCATGTTTTCGGAAAGCAGACATACTACACATAGATCCTTTAAGAAAGACTTGTGTGGTGGTTGTGGGTAGTCAAGTGGACACTCGTCTTCTTATAAATACAAATGCTTATCAGATACTCAGTGACTTACAGGAAACATTAGTGCATCTTTGGTGCACTCTTTTAAAGCTATTGACTACGTTTACATGCAGTCGAATACAATATTTAAAAATGTAAGGATCACCATGCTCTTTTTAATGCAAACATTTGATCAAAGTGACTGTTGGCCTCTTCTTGGTAGTAAATGGGTTGTTTTGATAAATCGAAGAGAGCTCATTACAATTGAACAAAAACAATCCACCAAGTTGTGCATTATGCTTTTAAATACCCCCAGTCTGTGTTCTTAGTCAAGGTTCTACTACTGCATTGTACAGCTCAACAATCTTTGGTTTCCATTAGAAAAACTTGCATAATTTTTTGGTATTCTTCAGGTGAGATTTCAAGCAAGCTAAACTTGCAAATTAATATGGGAGCTCAAACGCTGCAGACCAATGAGAAAGAAAAGAAAAAAAGCGTAGCTACTGTCAATAGCGACCGCTATTTTATTTGTATTGACTCGACCAAGATCACAGAGAATGACCGCCCACAATATAACATACCTGCATCTAAACGTAGTCCTAACCAGTTCAGTCAAATAATAATTTTTGGGTACAGTTATCAACATCTATGTTACTAACTAATTTGTATGTTGATACCATAGATACAATATTTGTTGACGTAAGTACATGTTATCAAATGAAAGAGCTCAGTAATTAGTAAGACAATATTAAAGTTAAAAAAGGCTTCCCCCTTATTAACAAAAAACAATGTGACTGACTCTTTTAAATGCTTGCTTTGAAATATATTTCCAATATGATTAAAATATTTTCGATTTTAATAGTTACATGAAATTAGTATAACACGAGTCAGCAAGACAGCCCGTGTTGTCAAATCTTGCACTTGTTGAAACTTGTGCAAAAGTAGAAGGTTGCAAAGCATGTATTGTCCTGTAAGAAGACGAGAACGTTTTCCCTAAGCAAGGTCAACTGCATTGATGTGGTTTGAACTGCAGTTGAATACCCGGCCAATGTTGGCTTCATCTTCTACTTTAGGTTTCTAACAAGAGATGGTGATATTTCACATTCTCCAATTTGGGAATTCCCTTTTTACCTCTTGTCACTTCGCAAGAGGTCACAATTTTTTCATTTTTTTTAAAATCCTCAATTCTATTCAATGTGTTTATTCCTACTGCTTCATATCATTAATTGGGTGAAATTATCAGGAGCCCATTTACAGCACCGTTTTGCATTAAAGGAGACAAAGTGTGTTAGGCTGTAGTTGCATCAATGTCATCTGTTGCGATATTGTAGGATGCAGGACGCTTAAAAAAATAAAATGCAATCTTATTTATACTGCCTTATAGCTGCCTTGTGCCCAGTGAGAAGAACCTATTTGAACTAGAGGTGCACTTCTAGACCACGGACCTCCGCCAAGACTCAGCCGCTTCAAATTGTAACGGTTTCTTCATTGGCCCATGCTACACCCTTCCACCAAATTTAATGAAAATTGGGCCAGTAATTTTTTCCATAATCCTACAAAGAGACCAGAACGAATCCTTGGCGACAGTAACAATGAGATCCATAACATTTTAAAAAGAGTCTGCTTTTAAAATTATACATCAAATTATTAACATTTTCTATCATCATTGCTAAAGTCTTCTTGCAACTGATATTCAAATTATAACTGTAATGCCCAATCCCTCCCCATGAATCATGTCAGTACCTGCTCTGAAGTACTTTGACATCACGCTGGCATCAAATGGACACTGGCTTGCCTTTGCAAACATTTCTCAGTTGTGTGATAGAAGGAGATGGGCTTTAAAAGTGAGTGTAAGTATTTTTGTATTAACTACTTCTTTTAGGATTTAACTGCTAAGTATACTTGTTTCATCTTACTGTGTTTTTTGGATGGAAATTGAGAATTTGCTCAGAAATTAAGCACTTTTTTCAACAGTCTTTGGTACTGTGCTCTTTTTAAACCGTAAACATCCATTGGCTGACTTAAGACAATATTTGGAGATATAATTGGAGGACCACAATTCAGTGGTAGTTCTTTTCATTTGCCTTTTGTATAGCTGCAAAAACATTGAAGTATTTGAGACGCAAGGAAACTTTAAAGTTGAAGGTCCTCATGCAGTGTCAATTTACTCTGCACAATAACAAACATTATAAGGGCTTTGTGCATTTCACACCCTTTTTTTATTGAATTGGTTTTACTTTTTGATTATGCAGAACAATTTCGGGGCAACAACAAATCATTTAGTTAGTAAATGCTCAGACCTCTGCAAACGCTTTTCCAAAAGCAAATGGTGTATCCAACCAGTTATTTGGATTTGCCAATGCTGCTGTCATTCTTAATCTAACCATTCTGACATATCCCTAAACCCTCCGACATTTCCAACAATACGAATAACCATTTTTGCCAGGTTTGAGTAACCCTCTCTTGGTCCAATAGTAAAAATGAAAGATTTTAAACTGAACCTTTAATTGTTAAACACCTTGACAATGTTTTAAAATGGCCACTTATCTGAGCCTTATCATTTGTAAGTGGTGAAATGTCTTAATCCCCTTCCAACACACTTTTCAGAGCTGCGATAGCTTTATTCCCACTACAGAAAAAAACCTTCTATAATATTTGGATACCCCATCACATTTTTGCCCTGCAAGAATCCCTAGTTAATCCTTTCCCTTCGAGTGGCATCTGAGAAACCTGAAACACACCGGACTACGGATACTTGGTAAAATAATTGGATATCAAGGAGTGTTCATCTGTAATGTGTGTTTGTGTTATGTACATTTTTCTTTAACAGGTTTGACCAGCTTTAAAGATTGTGGACTGTGGAGGAATTTGTGGCTGTATAGCGTGGAATCAAGAATGCTTTAGGAGAAAAAAAGTGACACTGGACCCGTGTACAAATGTACTTTAGTAAGACTCACAATAGAACAATGTAAAAGGGAAGAAAATCGGGATGCTGACATTTTAGCCTTTGAGCAATGAGGCTCATCTAGCTTTGTTGCAATCCCTTTGACAACAATGGATACTTGTAGACATAACTACCGTTAAATGTATGACAACCATGACAGAATTGCAACTTTAGAAATACATTATTGATTGTTTTTTTTATGTCAGTCAAGATGTAAAAACAGTAATTCTGTCTACAACTTGAGGTTTTTTTTGTGTTTTTTAACGGTAGTAATTATTTAATTTCTCATATATTGGAAGACATACTGTACCTACGTTATTGCTTTCTACTAACGTTTTCCCAGATTGGTGTAAATTAGCTGAAGAGAACCATTCCAGAAAAAGTTCAGTCGGGATACAGTTTCCAGTAATTGTCTTTGGAGATTAATGCTGAATTTTCTCTTTTGTTTGTTTACCATCTAAAACTAATTTTTTTTTAAATGCAATATTAAACTTTTGTAAGCTTTTAAGGGGATTCCAAATTCAATGTTTAGTTTCTTGTTTTTTATTTAATTTCTTATAATTTATCAAGCTTACATTTTTTGGGGGGAATTAATTACAAGCTTAAGTCCATTCATTTGGAAACAAGCACAGCAACAAAGGATTCAGTTTTGTAGTCTCATTTGGTAAATATACAGTCCGGTGTGTGACTCAATGGACAGATGTTTAACCAGATTTTCTGGGTTAACTTGACCTCTGGAATCCATTTGTCACATTGAATGGAAAAACTTTGGGGGGGGGTTGGCGGTGCACAAGTGAGTTGGTAAGACAATTAGTTAAGTATCACAAGCATAGTAAGTAAGGAAACATGAAGATAAGAAAGGACTGCTAGTTGAACAGAGACGTTCTGCTCTTAAAAGCATCTGAACATCCTGCAACATAGTACAAGTGCTCATTGAAGTGACCCAGGTATACCTTTTAAATCTTTTGATGTTATGTCTGTGTTGGTGTTGTGTACAAATTGTTTTTCTTTGACAGGTTTGACCATCTTTAAACGTGTTGGACTGTGAGAAGGAACTTTCCAAAAAGAGACCAATCTGTAGCTTCTTCACTTTTGATAATGAAACCTTAAGGACCAAATAGAACTTGTTTTTGAAAGACTTCGATCAATGTGTAATCATGAAAGGCTGTGCTTTGATCGAAGTTTGAAGATGGAGAGTTTAACTTTTTAACATCCTTTTCGCACTAAAACCCTAAACTGCCCAGGTTGCAGTATATTTCCCCATAATGTGTTGATGTGCTGAAAAGAAAAAAACATTTTTTGAGAATAGTCATTGTCAATATCTGTCTATAAAGGCATTAAGTTGTTTTTACAGACTACACAGTGACTTGATTTCAGGTGCTTTGGACAGGGTTTTCTCTCATGGCCAACACATTCTGACTTTATTATTTATGTCAAGATCTTGGCAATATTCATCAAGTGATGTTCTTCAAGATTTGTTAAGTGTCGCCAAGCAACAAGCTAATAAGAACCCTTGTTGGAGTTTAAAACCGGAATGTGTTTTTTTACCAACGCACTTATTAGCCTTTGCTAGTTGAGTAAAATGGTAACTAGAGTTCAGAGTTAACCTTTGTTTAACACTAGAACCGCCAGGTTGTCGCTATATACCTAAAACCGCCAACGGGTAAAATGTACCCGCTATTAGAATGCATTGATTTTCAAGATACAATGTTCTTTTATTTATCACACTAGAACACAGGGTTAACAGTGAGTTTTGATCGTACAGGGATGAAACTAATACCATTATAATCTGGACTCAGCTTTCATAGGATATCTGAGTTTATGCAGATAGCATGAGGTAGAAAATATTGATAAAAGTGTCTCTATAACTATCTATCTAGCTCTCTCTATATCTACAAGGAACCACAGTAAACAACAGGTGTTGCTATAGCAACACGTCATGTTTATGCACGAGATCAATAGCGCGAAAATCACTGCATTTTCTACAAGGTAAATATTACCCGCTGGTGCTGATGGGTATAAATGGAAATTCTTTGGGTCACTTTTTTCAATCTAACTTCATATTGACCATTTTTAACAACAGAGGGTGCTACGTAACACCCTTTCAGGAAAAGTCAGACTGGGAGACTTGAATATTTTATTGAAAAAAAGTTACATACAATCAAGAAACAGCTGTGGGTAAAATGTACCCGTTGGCGGTTCTAGTGTTAGGGTTGTTGCCAATCACATTGATCCAGGTACACAAAGTATATTAGAAGTTCAGAACAGGGACTAAGTGCCACCCATTTAGATGGCATTGTGGTAGTTCAATCAACGCTATGGCACTATTAATTGGCACGATATTGTCGAGATTGATACAAAGTGGACCACACTTAGGAGAATACACAGGAACTATATTGGATGTTGAGATCTGGATGTGCCTTATTAACATATTTTGACTGCAACATGGAAACAAAGCTCTGACAGAGAATTTCTTTGTCAACTGACTTAAGTAACTATAGTAAAGAAGTTAACATGGACGTCCCATAATGCAACACATTTTCGCATAGTTTGACACTGAAATGCCTGAAGAGAAGGTATCAGTTTGTTTAAAGGACTCATGCCTTGCCATCCCATTATCACCCATATTTGTTCTAATTTTTTGGAAATCCCCTGACTGCTGTTGGAAAAAACTGCACTAGTATACCTGACTGACCTGCCATTTACCAACCGACCTGAGGCAGGAAGTCCCGTACACCTAACGGTTGAAGAGAGGATGGCGTGTTGTGTGTGTGTGTGTTTCGTGTCTTTGGTAAAGTGAGTGGTGTGTAGCTGCTGTCAGCCAGCTTGTCAGAGACAGGCTGCCCCAGTCCACAGTAGAGGCTCTTCTCTGCAGTTGGGTTACATTGACGATGGGTAGTTCTGCAGAAGTCAGTGGACAGTAAAGCCTGGACTTGTTTGCACTGCAGCCAGAGGTATGCTTACACAGATCAGCTGAACAAGTAAGGTAAGTGTTCCATCCATGTTTATAATACCAGATGCAAAGTTCTCCCATAACTTAACTCTTCTCTCCGTCCTCTTACACCACGTTGCTGTTCGCAGTGACGCTCACAGGGCTTCTGGCATCACACTTGCAAAGAATGGCATCACAGTGCAGATTTCCGTTTTTCAACCTTTTTGTGTGTGGATGTGGTAACTCATTTTAGACCGTGCAGTGTGTATGGTTGTAGTACTTTGGCTTTTCTGTATGTATGCATGAACGGTACTATGTATGGACTGCTGAGCCAATGGTTCAACACTAAAGTTTCAAAAAAAAGGTGTGCTGCTGTCAGTTTGTGAGAACATTGCTTGAATACTTCAAACAAGGTGAAAAGTATTAGAAGGCTTAATCTGTTCAAAATAAGTCGGCCTATGCTGATTTCTTAGGTCATTTTTGCAGAATGTTTTCTGCCATATTAAAAACCATTCAGCTTAACTAAGGCAGGTTTTGTGCAACACTGACCAGAAATGAGTCAAACTCAAATGGCATTCATTTAAAGGCTTTCTGGGTAGCTTTGTCTTTGTGCTACACCTTTTTTTTTTCTTTTCTTTTTTTTTTACATTTCTCACAATCGTAGTGCCGAATGGACAGTTTGCAGGCTACTTTGTTTCACATGAATTTACCTTTAGTCCTATTGTGATTTGCAGAACCCTGGTCGATAATAAAAACTAGTTTTAATTATTTACATTTGACCAGAGCATCTGTTGTCACCACTCCTGACTCTCCTCAGTGTAAAACTATAAACATTAATACTTTGTGGTACTGGGTTGGGATCTTTGCAGCTTTGAAGTGAAGCACATACTGCTGGGTTGCTCTGGGTGGGATTGTAATAACATTTAAATCCCTAGGTCATTCTGTTCCTCCAGTCCGATTCTTAAACAACAACCTTCGTGACTTACTGTTTGAGAGTTTTATTTTTATCTTGAGAGAACACAGTTTTTTAATTCTCACTAATTGACTCATTTTCTGATCTCATGTTTATCCTTTTCTCTTGACTTTCCCCACTGGTGACACCAGTGGGTTATTCACAACAGGTCTTAAATATATACAAAAAAATGTATTTCTTAAATATTTTTAAGATATTTTAGATAGTCTTGAACTTGCAGATACACTTGCAAAGTTAAACTTTACTTGCAAATGCACATACATAATGTATGTTAGGTACATAAACATTTCAATTTTTTACACATAATACATATGGGTACGAATACTACAAAAAACCTATAATTAAAATGATGCTAATGAGAAAAAAACCTAATTTATATTAAAAACATTTGGCGCCTACATCATAACTAACTAAATTTAACATTTACTTCCTGTTTACATCCACCAATGAATCATGGTAGTAGTACAAAGTAGTTACAAAAATTACAGCTTTATTATCCGTTGTTTTGATTATCAAATGTTTCACTATTTATTTTTGGGTTACGCCAACAAACACTTTTGGCAGTGTAATGGGGCAATGCCCCTAAAGAAAACTGGTTTAAAAAATACATCTACAAACCTTTTTTGACATAGTCTTGAAGGGACCGGAGGATGAACGGGGAGAGATGTAGTTCTATTGTGACAATTTTGCAGTAGTGCTGGACTCTTATTGCGTTCCTTTCTCCCTCAGTATCTCTCACTGATGATATCTCACTTCTTTTTGAATACCATTTACTGCCAGTGTCCGGCCGCTCATCGAGATATACAGTACATGACAACTGTGGCATTTTCCTTTTTGTTGCTTGTACGTAGGAGACAAAATAACTGTTGAGTTATCGCTTCTCCTTGATCAAGAGGGAACCACACTGTTCAGCCAATGCCGTGAATCACGCCCTGGAGGCTGCCGAGATGTATCTGTCTGCACTGTGATCCATTTTCTAACCATGTCCTCAGTCCTGATTGGCCAAAATAATCTCCATGTCCTGTCAATGAGTGTGATGCCAGAACAACCCTTACGGCCTCTAATGGCCTCCAAAGTCTGCACGACTGACACTGAAAATGTCTTCTCGCTATAAGCCTCGTGGTGTAGCTCCCAGCTCTGTTTGGGGTTTTTGCAGTAACACCCCGGATGTGTCAATATGAAGTTCAGCTTCCCATGGCTTTGTAACGGAGTTCCCCAAGGTTTGCAACAGACCTGAACGTTGTCATGATTTTCTCTCGACTGCAGTTTCTAAACAAAAGTATCTACTTCAGGATGCCGAGATGCCTTTCTTAAATCTGTTGTTTACTTGTATCACTCTCATACAACATATTTGAACTTTTTCTCACATTCACATTTAAACTCTAAATGCATGTTTTCATTATAACATCATTACTTGTATTTACAATTAAAACATTGAGTCACTGCACATACAAAAACATGCAAAACACCCATAGATGCTCAGGCTGTCTTGTATTTATATTCTCAAATGTGGCAACCTCAAACTGTATGAAACAAGCATTTAAAAAAATGATGTTGTAAACCTGCTGAGCAGTTCACTACTTGGCTCTCATTGTTTGTTTCTCGTCACAGGAGCCTCGAGCAGCGGAAGCAGGCTGAGAATCCACGCTGTTAAACAAAGGTGAGATCTACAGTGGTTAGTTCTCTGCAATTTGTTGGGTTTGTGACAAACATGTTCAGTGCATTGCCTCGTACGCATACTACAGCAAGTCTGCCCCTGTTGAAGATCTCATTTTCTGCCCACCCTTCTCCAAATGTATGCCATATGCATACGGTGGTGCAGGAATGAGTCCTTAAGCCCGGAAAAGAGTTAGTATTTTACCATTTCCGGGTCCCTTGTCTCAAAGTCAATGTTTAGTTTTTTTATCGGGATTTGCCTGAAATAAGGTCTGTGGTCAACACAAGCTTAAGAGATTTTCACATTAAAAAAAACTTAAAATACATCTGTAAATACACACATTGAACCAACTAAAACTCCAGTGAGGCTGTGCAGGGCATTTATAAAAATACCACAAATCGTTGTTCTGTAGTTATGTGTAATGGTTAATCAACAGTTGGTCTTGTCTTTTGTTTCTTCCTGTTTTTTTTAGGTGAAATGAAGACGTGTGTGAAATGCCAGAGCTGCTGTAGAGCTAATGCACTGTGTGCGGACACCAGGATCGCTTCCATGTAAGTTTGCAGTTTACCATTCAGATATTTATTATTTAATATCTTGTTACTTAAGTATTCAAGAAAATAAATCCAGAATAATAATGCAAAATATGTGATGCATTAAGTCCTAAAATTGCAGTTTACCTGTTGAAACATTGTTTCAGTTTAAAAAAAACAAAAAACTTTCTGCTTCTCCCTGTCAGAGCTGCGGGTGAAGCACCAGGAAGCATCCATCAGGAGGCCAAGCAGTCCGCAGTCCAGAGGAGGGATGCACTGTTTGTTTAAAAAAAAAAAAAAAAGTGTTAATAAATTATATTAACCTGACATTAGTGGTTTGTGTTTTTTTTACAAGGCATATGATCTCCATATTGTTGGAGTTATGAGTCCATTTAAACCTGTTGCTATATTGACAAATTAGTAGGAGTTTGGATAAGAACCATACTATATTCATTACAAAATTACATGTATTAAGTTGCAGCATATGAAGCCTTTCAAAAAATTTATATATATAATCAAAAAGGAATATAAAAAATAGCTTGATAGTCTTATCGATGCATCTTTACAACTTTTTGACTGATTAAAAAAATTATTCCGTATTTACACCGTAGACTTTCTAATCATTACACTCATTTTTTGTTAAATATATAAGCACGCATGTTAAAGTACTAAGCAAAGAAAACATACAATGAACAAGTGGATACAACAAAATGTTGAAAGGGTTTTGGAAATGTACTTGAAGATATCACATTCACTGATACACTTTACCCCATACCAAAGGCTGAGCAGGTTATTAGCTTCCTCTTCAGTTTGCTCACTGACCTGCCTCAGTGCTCCTGCCCTGAACCAGCCAGTCACAATTAAAGATAAAGGTGCAAGGTTTCCACTGCTGGATCACTTGTATCCTGAGGGTTTGGCTGTCAACCCTGGAGGAGATCCAGCCCGGAGAGATGAAGGCGATACAGAGGAGCCTGGATGTGGGTCAGTTTGGTGTCGACTCACCTGAGCTGCTCTCTGGTGTTATAACTCTGTTTACAGGCTGTTGGCAGCCAGAAACACAGACAGGTGACAAATTTAAGGAAAAACCCGGAAACTTAAGACGGCACTATCCAATGAGTGTGCTAAAGTGGTAATGTACGGGAAATGCCCAATTTCTCAGTAAACAAGAAAGTTGACTGCTTATTTTACCTGATTGTATATCTATGGCAACCCATTTCAGTGAATAAAAGAAATTAGATGAGCAATGAGATCAGATGGGGGGGGAATCCCAATAGTATATTGGTCACTCAATATTTAGAACACATTGGCAGTAACTTGTTTCCACATAATCTAATATATTAATCTTTCCTAATAATTTAGTAGGAAGTTAACTGGAAAGAGCAGTCAAAAGCTAATTTAGGTTAATGAATGACAGTGTTCAGTTATTGAAGCGATTTCATCAAAATATTGCTACACATTCTTTGGCTGTAAAATCTTTGCATGGACTGTACTTCCTGTAGTGAAGAAGTGTACCATGGTTTACAATTACCAGTGTTTGGAAATCCCTAAATAGGTACACATTACTTTTCTTGCTAATACTTTTAGAGGCTTTGAGTCAATTCTCAGCTGAGTAGATTATATTATTTTAATCGCTCAAAGCTCTACACAACCGACTGAATAAAGGGAATTGGCAGAACTTTGTGTCATGTTTTATTCTTTTAAAATAGATTTAAAAAAACTAAGAAATGCAGGATCTGTGAACCTTTTTAATGGCATCTTACTTTCACTTACAGTGGGGCAAAAAAGTATATATATATACAGTATATACACCCTTTGTTTGGCAATGACAGAGGTCCAACGTTTTCTGTAAGTCTTCACAAGGTTTTCACACACTTGCTGGTATTTTTGGCCTATTCCTCCATGCAGATCTCCTCTAGAGCAGTGATGTTTTGGGGCTGTCGCTGGGCAACACGGACTTTCAACTCCCTCCAAAGATTTTCTATGGGGTTGAGATCTGGAGACTGGCTAGGCCACTCCAGGACCTTGAAATGCTTCTTACGAAGCCACTCCTTCGTTGCCCGGGCAGTTTGTTTGGGATCATTGTCATGCTGAAAGACCCAGCCACGTTTCATCTTCAATACCCTTGCTGATGGAAGGAGGTTGTCACTCAAAATCTCACGATACATGGCCCCATTCATTCTTTCCTTTACAAGGATCAGTCGTCCTGGTCTCTTTGCAGAAAAACAGCCCCAAAGCATGATGTTTCCACCCCCATGTTTCACAGTAGGTATGGTGTTCTTTGGATGCAACTCAGCATTCTTTCTCCTCCAAACACATCTAGTTGAGTTTTTACCAAAAAGTTCTATTTTGGTTTCATCTGACCATATGACATTCTCCCAATCCTCTTCTGGATCATCTAAATGCTCTCTAGCAAACTTCAGACGGGCCTGGACATGTACTGGCTTAAGCAGGGGGACACGTCTGGCACTGCAGGATTTGAGTCCCTGGCGGTGTAGTGTGTTACTGATGGTAGCCTTTTTTACTTTGGTCCCAGCTCTCTGCAGGTCATTGACTAGGTCCCCCCGTGTGGTTCTGGGATCGTTGCTCACCGTTGATCATTTTGACCCCACAGTTGATTTCTTCACACCAAGCTGCTTACCTATTGCAGATTCAGTCTTCCCAGCCTGGTGCAGGTCTACAATTTTGTTTCTGGTGTCCTTTGAAAGCTCTTTGGTCTTGGCCATAGTGGAGTTTGAAGTGTGACTGTTTGAGGTTGTGGACAGGTGTCTTTTATACTGATAATGAGTTAAAACAGGTGCCATTAATACAGTTAACAAGTGGAGGACAGAGGAGGCTCTTAAAGAAGAAGTTACAGGTCTGTGAGAGCCAGAAATCTTGTTTGTTTGTAGGTGACCAAATACCTATTTTACCGAGGAATTTACCAATTAATTCATTAAAAATCATACAATGTGATTTCCTGGATTCTTTCCCCCCATTCTGTCTCTCATAGTTGAAGTGTACCTAGGATGAAAATTACAGGCCTCTCTCATCTTTTTAAGTGGGAGAACTTGCACAATTGGTGGCTGACTAAATACTTTTTTCTGCCCCACTGTATATGCTTCACCTGTGAGTGACTTCACCTTTTTTTCTCTTGCCTGCTTGGCCCCACCTTTTTTTTTCCGTTTCCTTTGATTTTTATACATGTCTTTTCATTCTCCCTGTCTGCCGCGGCGTCTAATCCCTTCTCTTCGGCCCTATCCCAAACCGCCCCCTCCACCCTACCCCTACACAACACACTCTCACTCCCTAAACGTCCAGAAGCGACGCTTGGTCAGGGTCCCGTGGACGTGCAGTTGGGACGCGCCGAGGCTCCTTCAGCTTCATAAACAGACGCAAAGAGCTTTCAACTGATTGCAATGTATTCCCATCGGCGCCGGTATTTCACGCTTAGGGAAGCGACCGCAATCCGTTTATCGTCGGCAGCTCTTAAAAGGCA